TTTACTTATCTATAACATTTAGTTTTTTACTTATGAGTTATTTTGCAATAAATCAATATTGTACAGTTATGTTTTCAGTTCTTTGTTTGTTTGCTTTTGTATTGTAATGTCTGTATTGTTGTTAGTGCTTGGCTCTTATTGGCCTTTTTGGCTGTTGTCAAGCACTTTAATAAATGAATTGAATTGAATTGAAAAACTTTATTTCTCTCTCTTCAAATACGCTTTTGTATTTACTTTCTAAAGCATAATGTCTTCATAGGTGAACACCATTATAAAGTTACAAACACAGTAAAACACCATACGGTTTTCTTGAAGGACAATGTTTTCATACTTGAAGAGAGCATGATAAATGAAAAAATAAAAAAACTGGGTTGGTACAATAAAAACTGATATCACGCCAAGGAAAACCTTAAACTGAGAAGTATTAAATAGCAGTAGTTTCAGCACATATTTATTCACAATTGTAACATCTGTGGACTCTCAATTCTGAAACACAGTTCATACATGCTTTAACACAATACAACAAAGCAGCAACAATACAGAAACATCTTCATTTTAAAAGATGAATGTTACATGACCAGTAAAAAAAAAACAAAAACATATTCAAGTACAAATGTTCGTTTTTTCTAATATCTGTGGATTTATAGCCACAGAAGAACTTCTATTGAATGTGTGTATAAAAATTTACACCACATACTAGTCAGTATATAATTTAGATAACCAAAAGTGAAATTATATTGTAATAAGAACAGTGACATTTGAAAAACATATAAACAAGTCTCCTCTCACTTGCATAAAAACCAGGAGAAGAACTTAACATACTTAAAGTACGCTTCTCTTGTATCCATTATTTTAGTATTCAGTGCTTATGAACTGTCAAATACAGTTTAAACTTATTACAACCAACATGCACTATGAGATTCTCTTTACCATTTACCCCTATCACGTCTTCCTCCACCACCACCTCCAAAACTACTTCTACTACTCCTTCCTTCACCCCTGCAACCTCGAAGATCCATTCTTTCTCGTTCCTTTTCTGCAGCTTTCTTTTCTTTCCATACATTGAACCGTTCAGCCATTTTTGTAAGTTCCTCGGGCACTTCCTGCATTAAGATAATCATCAAATGAGAAAAAAAGTGCAGTGGATTGAAACTTCACCAATAATTAGAGGCATGAAGACACTTTAATTAAATTCAAACTTTGTCTCAAATGTGACTTCCAAATTTCTGCTTGTTTTCATTTACCAAATATAAGAAAGTTCACTTCCACCACACAAGACATATAATGTAAGTTTCAAACCACTAATACTATAAAAGTATTACCATTAGAAAACTGATGGCCATTTTCCCAGCAAAAGCTCATCTTACTGAAGAAATCTGTGTAACGCGAAGTGTTATCTCATTCAGTTATACAGATTTATCCTGTGAGCTATTGGCCTCCTTATTGTTGCCATTTGCATGTCCATAAGAGAACTGCATGTCTGCCATTTGTTGGAATGGATATACAAACATTCAGCATGAAATGACCTATTTTCAACACTGATGCAGATTCACTGTTTAAACTGTGTTCATCACCATATTTCTAATGCTTCCATTGGATACTCTTAATAAGACAAATAAATATAAGAGCATAGACACAGGATTAAGACACAAAATAAATCATGAATGATACTGGTAGTGTAGGTACTGCTGAAATTGAAATATATCACTGAATATGTTGTATGGCCTTGATACCAAACCCTTTCTTCCTCTTTTTCCTACCCTGCTCAGCACTACTTTAACAGCAAAGAAGAAGCAACAGAAGTACAGTTAGGTGTTGATATCCTGAAAACAATGTTGTTTCCAAGATCCAATAAACTACACACTTAACTCTCAACTTCATATTTACAAGCAGTATGGAGAAATC